CCCGAGTGTAATTGTAACACGAATGGATAAACAAGGAAATTTCCTATCACGTGGCACAGAATACTCAAAAGCCACTCAACAGACTTGGTCACCATCCTAGTTATATCATTATTATGTCCAGACCAAACTTTGCAATGCGTAAATCCGGGATTTACATGACAACATATTTTCGCTCGATAGCCCAAAGTTCCATATCATATTCCATGGCTAATAGCATTCTCTTTCATTACGCTCACTCCCAACATGCACAAATTATTTATCATAGATCTTATTTCTATGCACGATCCATCTTTTGTCTTATTTTAGTGTTTAGTGTTGTTACACATAAAATAGGCTGGTTTAAGATTAAGATTTCTTCGCCCTCATATCGAACAGACTTGGAAACCTGCTGCCGTGGTCGACCTCAGTTAGTAGAAGCCACTTAGTTGGGACTAAATTAGTATTATTAAAGCAAACATCATAGAAATAGATGTCACACTTAGATTTGAACCCGGAAGACTGCCAGAAAAATGAGCAAAGTCCCCTTGAGTTGGGAATTGATGTCTTTATTACTCTGGGGTTGTTAGTTAGCTATTTACCACAGGTTTGTTTCTAGTTCGTTGGCTGTTACATCGTCATATATGATCTGCATTCTCATATGTACTATAAATCAGCATTACAGAATCATCAAGATTAAGAGCAGCGAAGGTCTTAATCCCATCTTCTTGTTGCTGGGTACTTTATCGGCAACTTCAAGTTTGTTCAATGTCATAATCCTGGAGTTTAAACCCATTCAATGTTGCTCCTTACTGGTATGTAATCCTTAATATTTTTTATGTATGTACTAGAATTGATTACAGCTCACTTCGATTATTGTTATCCAGAGTGCTGTTGAATGCGCCAAGACCACAATCTCGGTTATTCAGTTAGGAATTCAGTGGACAATGTTTGTCCTAGTGTATCCTTTATGTCGTCGAATCTATATTGATGTTTCTCGCTTATGGTATCTTCCGTTAGTCCGTCCTTGACATTTTCCTCTAAACTCACAGCTTGGTTCTGTTTCTTATATATTTTCCGCCACATCGTAAACTCGCTCCATATAATCCCCAGATTCACTACGGTCGCCCACCTATTGCTCGTTCGCGCGAGTGGAAGGTGTCTATTGCCGTTCTATATGCTGTTATAGTACATTTTTTATTGGTCCTATCGGTCACCGTTTATCTTTTGGTTCTGGTTGGTGATTCTAGTCAAAGGGAGACTTATTTATGGGCCGGATTCCTGGGCGTTATTTCAATGATGATGGCATCGGTTCAATATTTACCTCAGATTTGGACTACTTGGAAGATGAAGGTCTGTGATGGAAACGGGTGGCGGGGACATTATTATGCGAATGAGGAAATCATACCAAAGTTAATGTATAACTAACACCTGTCGACTCGAACACTATTTATAATGGTTTAGGCTGTTGGAGCTCTGAGTATTCCAATGATGCTTATGCAAACTCCTGGTAAGCCATACGTGGTCATTAAACTCGTATTACACTTCATCGTTATCCAGTGCACTAATTTATCTCTTCTTAACCCTTTTAGGCGCGTTCCTTTTTGCATATTCCCTTGCATCGAAAGAAGATAATAATTGGACTACATGGATTGTCTTCTTTGTAACTGGCTGCCTGCAGGGCATTCTCCTTGTCATGGCTATATGTTGGCACTTCCGTGCCAAACATATGGGATATGGTCCCTTTGATGTTACTGATGCTGAAGTTTTATATGATAGCGACGGACGACCGATGAGGCCAGGTAGACATTCGGCTACCGACGAGCGATCGCCGTTGAGACCAGATAATCAACCCAATTACGCGTCAGTTATTCATGAAGAAGATTAACAAAAGTGATGGGGGAAATGGGTATTAAAGGTGTATAAAGTGCTGAACCGTTTCTTTTCACGAGTAAATAAATACGTAAGGGGCTGGTTCTTAATTATGGAGGATAAGAACGTCTGACAACGAAAATCGCATTTAATAAGTGCACAGTGCCGTTGTCTATTTGTTCTTCTGAACCTTGTAGCATGTGTGTATAGATTGGTATGGAGCGAGTATTCCAATCCGATACCAAAATCTTCTGTACAGTCGAATGTATGTACATCCTATGAACTTAATCATTCTTCCTCTGGGCAACTCTCTCTCATTCAAGATGTAAGAATTATGATCTTTATCAAGATAGCCATGACCCCTATTTCATATATTAATTCATTATTACCGTGCGTATGGTATGAGTCATATTACTTTTGCGAAGGTGGTCAGGCGTCTCACCTACTTGAGCTGACGTGACCCGGATATCTATCAAATTTCAATTGTAGTTTCTCCCCCAACATAATTACCAGCATCAGCTCATACGAGGGAAATTTAATTCTTTAAATTCAAACGTTGGCGATTGAATTTGTATTGACAATGGTGTGAAAATGAGAGAATAAGTTAGTTTCAAGAAGAAAATTAGAATCATGTTAGTAATACAATAGTAACGATAATACGATGGTAAAGGCTTTAAATATTATTACATAACATGGTTTTGCGTTTGCGCTGATCAGTGTCACATGTATGCACTTGGGTTTAATAAAAATGTAGGAAATTCTCAAAAACAGTTACTACGCGAGATTTATAACTATCGCGAGGACTTTTTATTCACAAAGCGAGATTTATAACGTGTTACGGAATAATAAATTTTTTTAAAAAAACATGTGACTTCTATACAGTGTGTAACCTACTCCTCAA